ATTAAAGTACCAGCTTAAATGTTTGATACCTTTCCAATAAAATTTCCTTAAAGATTATACTATTATTATTAATATGTAATTTTTATTTTGACAATCAACCTTGAAACACTCTGTACATTTAAATAAAATATTTCTGATTGAAATGGTAGTATACCATGTATAAAAGTTAATTGACAGGTGGTGTTTCCAGTTGAAAATGTCTTTCAAATCGGTTTCCAAAATGTTACTTATTCACAAATTGTCATTAAGTCAACTAAATGTTTTTTAATCGAAGAACACAAACTATTTTCCAAAAAAATGTTTAAACTGCGTATACCATAGCTTCGAGTTATAGAAGTAGGACTGTAATTAACAATTATTTAATGCAGATTGGCAAATGATGTTCCAAGTTAGAAAACATGAAAAATCACATTCCGAATTGCAAAAGTTGATATACCATAAAATCAGTTTTTAAGGGTCTCTCAATAGATCGAGTTAACCGGTGGTTTGAGTTAAAGAAGCGGGACTGTTTTCCCATTTTCCGTGGTTAGGCAATCCGGAGAGCGGCATAGAGAGAGTTCCAGAAATGGATCGAAAAACAGAAAGTGGTTTAATTTTGGCCCAGGCGGTCAGCTGACGACGTGCCACGCCCCAAAGCGCCCAAAGCGGCAGGGCCCTAATCAACTTCGATTTGGTTATCTATGCGCACTGGCTGGGTTACCTTTCGGGTTTTTTTATTTTATTTAGCTAGCTCTACGTTTTGCTTTGCTCGCTTGATTTTCTGTTGTGCTCACCTTTTTCTCGCCTTGTGTGTAATATATAAAACAGAGAGGCCCGCACTCACGCACACACCCTCGGACCGCCTTGCCGGTTTGCACACAGATACGAAAGTATATAGATACAGATATAGACCGAGTGAGTGCCGACCACATGGGCGGACCGCATTCAGTTCGATTCCAACTGCCGGCAGAGTCGGATGCTCAGCCACGTGACTTCGTTTTCGAATAGCCACCTTTGTGAATTTTGAATTGTGAACAGTGAATTGTGAATCGAGTGCATTCATCAATTATAATACCTTAACCGAAAATTGGAAACAGAAAACTCGCCTGTCGCTCAAAAAGAGTGAAATATCTAAACGGTTGGCAGACAGGGAGAATTATTACTAATTTTTAAGACGCGAAAACATAATTAGTTTCAAGCAAAGACAAAGAAAACTGGATTTTCGACAGCCCACAAATAATTTCAACCTCTTCTCGACTATAAATATGCATGAGCGGGCAAAATTATGGTCAAAATCAAACAATCAAATCAGCTGAATGTGCGTGGAAAAATAGTTTTGAATTCCTGAATTAGCATTTCCAATCGGGGAAAAACTGCGATAAGGATTATGAAATATTTATAGCGACAATTCAAGCAAGTGACTTATATTTAAAAGGCCGTAAGCAATGAAGATTAATTAAATGAACGAATAAACAAGTTGATAAACCGCCTCGCTAATTAACAAGTTAATACAGAAATATTACAAAAAACACGGGCACACAACAAAATCAGAAACGTTGCGAGACACATTTGCATAAGTTAAAATTTAATTTAAACAACCGACCAAGGACGTGTAATTGCCATAAAATTAAACAGATAAAATAATTTCAGTCGCTTGAAGCAGCAGGGAAAATATCCCATATGCCATGTGACTGATTTTATAAATAAAATAGATTTAAATACAGAAAAAACAGTGGGTAAGAAAAGAGTGAAAACATTTTTGTGAAAGAGGAAGGAATATATTATCTTTGGATTTAGGTGTTGGCATAGGAACAGATCTCTTTTTGCAAAAATGCTGCGAAGAGGTTTGAACGACGTTCAAAAAATGGTTCCATTAATTTCGAAATTACTATCCAGATCTATTTGTGAAATTCTCTTAAGACTTTTAGAGGGAACCGTTAGCTAACCGGCTAAATATTTTGCTGTTCCCCTCGAATTGATTTGATTTAAACTTTTGTTTTCTTGTCGTACAACTTGTCGGTTCTTCCTCCTCGCTAAAGTTTATTTAAATAACTGAAAAGAGGGAATGATGGGTTTTGATTTATGGCCAAGAGGCGCCAATCGGCTGCTGTTTTGCTGTTGTGACGTAAGCGGAGGATGATATTCTGATGAGCCGGAAAAAAACACCGTTCTGTGACTGTTTCTGTGCGGTATTTGGTGGGGTTTGTTTTGCATAATAAACCATAATTAAGTTTGGCTAAAGTCAGATGATCTGGAAACGAGCTCTGCAGGTGTTTGCTCATCTTGCTCCCTTCTTTCGCCTTTCTTTTGTGCCTGGTTTCTCATTGAGGGGGGTCTATAAATAAACCCAAAATTCTTTTTACGGTCAATAATGAAAGGTGATTGCAAGGCCAATAAAGCCTCAGTAAATTCATAAAAAGAACAAAAGTTTATTTTTGGCTTGATTCGGATGCGATCACAGATGGGCACCCGGATTTCCCGAGATAAGCACTAACCCACATATATACCACATATGTGGTAATAGAAATTGATAACCCCAGCTCAGTGACCGAGCTTTCCACAATCAGTTTCAATAGAACTGAAACAGCAATTGAAATCCACTTGGAATAGGTCAGTTTCAGATTCGGTTTCCTTCACAAGCCATTTATGCCGCATAAACAATCTGTTTGTCGAGATATTATGTAGTTTAAGTGGGGGGTAAACAAATAGAGAACCCACCCCCAAGATTTGTATTATTTGCGCACATGCTGGCAGAAAAAAACCTGAAATACTGCGAATAAATATGTTTTGTAGCTAATTTAATTGAAATTTATGCACGGCATCAAATGTTTTGCAAGTGCTGTAGACCCTTTTTATATGGATTTTGTTTATGCGGATGGAGGAGGCCTCTGTAAATGAAATTAAATTTCGGGGCAGCCGGCTTAAAACCAGATAAACAACAACACCATGTGGGAAGCTACTCTTTTCACTCGGATTTCTGGAAAAAGGGGGAGAAGGTCGGTCAAAACGAAGAAATGAAAACACGGCAAAGAAGAAATTGCGCAGCAAAAATGTTCTCGCTGCGTTGTGTTTTTGTTTTTGGACAACCACCACTTGAGAAAAGAGAACATTTCGCACTCTCAAAGAGAAAGAGAGCAATATGGAATTTGTATCTTGATTTTATTTGATTCTTGCGTGCGACGCAAAAACCTCCAAACCTGGCAAGCCTTCGGGCTAACTTTGAGATACATTATGAATTTCGCCTTTCCCTAGATTTATGCGGTTAATATGCCTAGGGATCGGGGTGGTGGGGGAGTTAATAGCTTTGTCAATGAAAGAGAGCCACAAGAATTCGCTTGTAAACTTACTCAGTAGGTAGTAAAAGTTTAACGATCCTGTAATCTCGGCATTATATGGTAATTATTGTCTGTAATTCACTTTCAGAGGGGTCTGTCCAGAGATTGTTTACTATTAAATTCTATAGTATATTCTAGGATTCAAAACCACGAGAAATACAAATATGGTAGTAAATAAGGTATGGTTAATTTACATTTCATCAGATTTCAGATTTTTATTTAACGATTATATAAATCTCCGTCACAGAATTAGTTTTTAAACCAACTTTTGCCTAATAGACCATAATAATAATAATAATAATATCGCTATTAATGTTATGGTATTTAGTCTTAAACATTAAATTTGAAATTGTTATTGTTTTTGGCCGTGTTTTCACATTTGCAAATTTAATTTTTAGAAAAATTTCCGAATATAAATTTACCAAAAACAAACAAGATGTGTATATTTCCGACTGCGTAGAATGCAACAAATAGTGTAATTAGCGACTTGGATATTTCTAAAGATATTCAAAACCTGTTTTAAAAACAAACTAATCATCTATGGTCTAGTTCAGTGAACTTCCAGAAAGTTCCAAATATTTACGTAATGCATCGGATTGTATCTATATAATTCAGGTGCATCATTTCCATATTTTGTGTTCATCAATCATCACTAGAGTTTTCCCAAGGCACTTTTCCATTTTGTAACAGAAATCTTAGATACGTTTTTCCGATTTGTACTTGTAGATAATATCATAACTTTAGCAGCTTGTTTTGGTTATTTGTTTTTTGCTTCTCAACTGGGGGGTCGCCTGAGAATTGGGTCAAGACGAGGAACTTACTCTAAACGGCAATTAAATTTCTGTTTATTTCGATTTGTTGTTGCTTCTTGCTAAGCTGTTTAATTATAATCTCAGCCCGCAACAACATAAATATTTCATATTGCCTCCCTGTCTGATGATCGTTGTATCTTATTGTTGTTCATGCTGTGTTGCTTTAATTACAACAGCTGTCTGCTCTTGTTGTTGCCGCATAAATTTTATAGTGCACTTAGCATACAGGGTGTCCCAGAATTCCAGATAATGCCTGACACTGAACTTGAAAAATGGATGATTATTTGTAATACTGGAAAAGCTGGATATGGAAAGTAGATTGTTAGAAATTCAGGAAACTATTGTTAGTTAAGATTGATAGGTGAACCTATAGCTGTTTTCCTATAGAACACTTTTTATTATCCGCTAATTAATGAACATAAGTTCCAGACATCCTACTTAACGAACCGCACACTTTCAGAGGCATAAGTTTTGTGCAATTAACTTTTCCTCTTAATTGTTTAAAACCGCTCCTATTTCACCATTAGTCCGACTAAGTATTCTCGGTAATTCGAGGACATTTCTCTCCGTTAATTGAGTTCACGCCAGCGGACTTAATGAGATCCCCAGGCGGTCCCTCTGGGTCGTCGTCGTCGTCTTGGACTCGTCGCCGTTTCCCTGGCCAGTTTGTTAAGTCCCGCGGAACGACCTCTGCCACTCCGTTGGATGTCGCACGTCAGCCCCAGACCACGCCCATGAAAATATATATTTATATATATATAAGAGTATATTCCGACTCACATACGCGGCAGCGATTGTCCTTGAACTGTTTGCTGTCACTTAATCCTGTATCATATGGACAATAAAGGCATCTGCGGAGCTTTGGACCAACCAAGCGCCACATTATCAAGTAAACGAGCTAAATGTGCTGCATGTGACACGTACAGTGGAAACTGGCAAGGGAGGACAGTTCAAATTTACAATTCAAGAGGATCCTTAAAGTATTCCAAATAAAAATAGGGGAAACCAAGTTATTAGTTAGGTGATTTATTAAATATAAACAAATCATTAAGTCATTATTATAGGAGAGATTTTCAATTATATGTACAGATCCAATTTCGTGTTTTAATGACAATCAAATCCTCGAACCAATATAAGACCGTAAATTCTAAATTTCTTTGTTTTGGCTCCTTCTTTAATCGATTTATTGTGTGATTTATAACTGAAGAACCACAATTGGGAAGTTATAAGAATTTATCGGACAAAATAAATTTGAAAATGGGTCAGTGGGTAAAAAGTTAAATAAACAAGTAAAAAATATATCCCCATTAATAATGCCTGTCGTTATAAAACCTATTTAGAGCATTGTACAATAACTTGTTGACTAGAAAAGTTTACACTAACAATTGAAAAATCGCGAAAATCAAAATTAACCACATTAAACGGAATCGACAATAAATCTCCCATACTTAAAACCCATATAGGGCCCTAAAACGTGACTTATTCTTGGTTTTTGCTCCTTTTCTTTGTTCGTTGTTTGCAAGTTGCTAATTTAAAACACAAATTTGCAGTGCAATTTACGGTTTTTAGCACGCAGCTCTTTATGGTGATTTATATGGGGGGTACATATAGATTTGAATACTGATGTGTGGATATAGATATAAATGTAAATCAAATATGAGTGCGGGTAAAAGTCAAACACACCCACTCTAAAAGCCGATAATTAGCATGCACGATTGACCGTCCACTATGGGTGCTTACTATATATATTCTACTGATAGGATCTGGAAAAGGACTGACCTTGACTGGGAGTCCAGAGGGAGGTGACAAATCAAACAGCTTTCGATTGCCATCGAGATATGATGAACATCGGTTGGTCAACAGCAAATGCTCAAATTCGCGTCGCACTTGAGTGGGTAAACAACTTGTAGTATTCCCCCCAAATGAATGCATCTTGTGCACACACAAATGTGGAATATATAGTTTATATTTACCCAGGGCACACACTACGATTTTATATATCGTCGCTATACAGAAATCGTACGTTCTGTGTTCCGTTGATAACAAACAAGAATAACAATTCAACTGTTTGTTCATTTCATCGCTTGCACCGCTAGATATGCACACACTCGAATGGATATAAAGATATATAGATATATCTAGCTACATATAGATGGGTACACACGTACGATATCCAAGTGCACTTTCCTACAGTCAACAAATTAATTCGTTGTAAGATCTGTTGAGAACCTGTGAGCAATTAATAATGTTTTTCTGAGGAGGTTTTTTGCGGGAAGAGAGAGGATGGTAATTGTAAATTTTGCTAATTGTGAATTTTTTATGTTTTCTCATACGGAAGTTGTAAGACTGTTTGTTTTGAGAAGCCAAGGTTCAACGAGTTGACAGGAGTGTTAAAAAACAGTAGGACTATAAAATTATTTGCTGGGATATTGCCAGGTTGTGTATGGTATACCTAACTTGAGAATGTTATAGAACTGTGGGACTATTATGCTATTTTTAGTATATCACGCAGGATACACAACAACTGCCATTAGTTTATGTCCTTTATGCTTTCCATTGCGTGTGTAGAAGGCATTTTCCTGCCCTCCAGGCAGGCTTTTTCATTAAGCCTGACATTAACATTTCCATTTTTCATTCACTGTACTGACAATTGTCTGTAAGCCACACTCTCCCCCTTCACTTATTTTGTATTATTCTTGCCAATGTCCTTGGCTCATAGGAAGAATGGGATGTAATCTTCGTTGTTTTCCAGCTAACTCTGCAATCTTTAAACCGCATCTTGGCCAGATGCCAAAAGTTAGGTTTAATAGCTGCCACCGACACACGCCCTAGAGCCACAAAATAGGCTCGTAAAATCTAATTAGCACCAACGCACAACCTGCCAAAATACGATCCCGAGACTCATTTGCATGATTTTCCAAGTCCAAGCCCACATCCCATTTCCATTGACGTCAGCAAGAGGGGCTAATAAATAACACATAGTCAAGGACCGAGAAGAGTGGAGCAGGGAGTGGGGAAGGTAAAAGGTCTGACAAGATAAAAACCTTATAGCTTGACATTCCCCTCAGTTTGCCTTGTAATAATTGCACCTAATAATTGCCTAGTGATACGCAAACTTGTCGTAGGTACATACATTGTGGTAAACAGACAATATCAATAGAACAATATAGTGGTGATAGTATGGCTATTTGAAAAACAGTTCTTTTTATAGATTGGGCAAACAACTATCTACTAAGGAGAATTCAGAATTTAACTACCATTTTTGTTAGGACCACTAATGGTATGTAATTTACTCATAGGCCAAAGACTTTCCCAATCTATTCTCTATTGCTGGCTTAAGTTCTTTCCTTCCTTCCTTTTCAACTTCTTTTTCGCTTCTACTTTCGTGACTTGTTTTTTGATAAATCGACTTCTTGTGACGTCAGCAAGTGCCTATAGAAGATTATTATTTGGTTTCGGGGCGCGTGAATCTCATTTGTTATGGTCCCCTGAAAGCCCCAGTAAGCACAAAAGAAAGTACGCAAGAAGATAACGAAATAATATATATATAAAATGGTCAGAAAGACTTCTATATATACACATTCGCTCGTTGAGCAACACTCAATGCCAGCGTTGGGTTAAAGATCAGCAGATAGTATAGATTCAATTGCGCGGAAAACCCAAGTCGAGCCCCTTGTCGTTGGCCCCTTTCCACTTGGCACTTGCTGAGGGGGCTACTTCACCCGTTGGTTATGCAAAGAGCTGGAAATGTGAATCAGATGTCTGACTCCATTAGAACCGTAAACAGAAAGCCAACTAGCTGAAAAAACACCAGAGGTGCACTCAATATTTGAATTCCAGTCAGAGTAGGCGTACACTGGTGGAAAAATCCCAATATCATAGGTCGGAACAATTAGTTAGGAGCGTTCTTTTCTAAAATATTATATTTTGGGATGTTTTTGAACCCGAAATCATAAGAATACCGAATACTTTCTTTTAGAACTAGGAATTCCTAACATTTAATCGCTTTTAAAACCCCTTCTTTTGTCTGCCCAAGATTAATGGGGTTATACTTTATTGTAAAGTTTTAATAGTTCAGAAATTTCTAATATTTGATCGCTTTGTTAATATCCATAATCGATATTTATTATTTCTTCCATCCTTCGGTTTCTATAAAGAACGTAGGTCTTCAAATTCAACTTCCTTACATATAACACCATTTTTGTTGATGTTCCAAATGAATTGGTTAATGTAGAAGAATTTTCTCTACGTGGCACACATAGTAGGAGTGTGCGCCCTTGTGTGTGAACTGCACTTGTTGCTGCGAGGAAGTCTTGACTCGACTGCCGGCTCATTTAATTTGCAAATTTCACCGGCTGCGAGCGATTGCACACGGCAAACACCGGCCACCGGGGAAGCTCCATGTGCACACTAGTCCGTATGACCACGTCCATTCGATGTATATAGTATATATTGAATAATTATATAAGCCAAACGCGTGAGTCGAGTCAACGTTGAATCGCCACTGGATGACGAGTCATCCGTCCGCAGAGGGCGTCAAAGGTCTTCTCCGCCCAGGGATGTTTGTTCCTCGGCTTTTCTTTTCCCATTTTCTGTGGTCAACTCTATAGAGCTATGTACTTATGCGAAAAGTCTTGTGAAATCCAGGGGAATGACTCACGAAAAGTGGATCAGAATGTGAGGTGTTTGGCTTTAAGTTATGCATTAAGTTTCGTCTTCTGACTATTTTTGAACTGGTACAGAATTAATTATTGGCCACATGAGTCACCGATTTTAAATGCGGTTCTTAATGAGCTGTTAAGCTATAATTTAATAAACTATAGCTTGTTGGTAAATTATTATTCTTGCTTTTGGCAAAACAAATAACATAATACATAAACATTTTATGTTTCATTGATATTTGAATGGTTAATAATCAAGTTATTGACAGGTTAAAATTAGCTGTTTATTTTCATTTTACATTTTTAATTCGTTGGGGCTCTATCCTTTGTTAAAATATTTTCAGTAGATTATATCTCCTGAACTAAGTACGACAGTAATCAGCTTAATGGTATTTTTAGCTTACAAATTTGTTGTGTTAACTTAATTTGATTGAGCATGGAATGAGTTGGGTAAATGTATTAAAGCACAAACGTTAAAGAAAAGCATACATATATCATTTCATAAGATATACCTACACATATATCACGACAATACATTTAAATCTGTGCATTTTGGTAGCGCAAGTTAAGATGTAGGTTCCGATTTTCTGCTGCTGACTCGCCTGTCAGCGAAATGCAAACCTAGTCGGACATTCGAACTGCATGGGATGCCAAAATCGCATTAGCCAAGAGGGAAAAACATGTAATTGGAGGACACTCTATATTCTATACGGCGAGATGCAGCGGAAAATTCCCAACCCCTCAAGGTTCCGTTCGGATCGCTGCGGTTCCGTTTATGTTCTTTTCCCAACCCAAAACTAATTAACGGATGGCAACAGCGTGCAAAGTTCTGTTAAACGTGCGGGTTGCAAGTGACTACGCTTCCGGTTGTAGTCGACTTACACTGCATTTGTTTAATTGCACGGCTCCAATGATGCGGAAACGGAAAAAAAAACAGATAGTGGCGGGGATAGGGGTAAATATGTCCCGCCCACAAAAACTTGGACGAGCACTTGCTTCGCATCATTCGCACAAGTAATACGCAAGTGGAAATTAGTGACAGTTTTATGGGTTTGTTCTTGGAATTATGTACTGTGTGTAAGTGGGGCGTCTGAAAATGCAAGGACATCTGTCGGGGGGTTTTGTGTATGTAGGAGCTTACAGCTAAGTCAAGAATTGTCCCCCCAACTAGGGTTCAAAGTTTGCAGCGAAGGTCGTGACCCGTGTGCCTTTCGGCCAAGGATCTATTTATGGTCTAGAAGTAAGTTGAAGGAAGGTGGGTTCAGCGACACGCTTGAAGGTAGCTGCGTGTGACAGTTCTATTCATTTTCAGGTGACAACTGCCCCTAGTCAAACAATAACGAATCGATTAGGTTGATAATTGTGAGTTAGTTGAGTGGCACTTTGTTTTGATAGCTAAGCGGGTTCAAGTAATAAAGTTATTGAAAGAGGGCACAAATTGACTCGAATAAAGCGATTAAAAGTCGTTTATGTAATGGCTGTACTTCAGAATGTTGTACGTTACATGAACTCAAAATTATATATATTTTATCTGAAATCTAGTATATTGCTTTACTATTGAGTAAGCGAAAACCGAAGACCTCTGCTGACATGAAAACTACACTTTCGTTCTAAATTCAGACGTACGAAGATCAAGAACGTTGCCCTTAAAACGGTTATATCATCCAACTGCTCGTATTTGGAATGCCTTTCCCCAGTCCCTTCCCCCTTTTGAAATCCGTGGGCAAGTTCAAATATTTGCCCTGAAATCTCCGTCCCGCCCGAGCCTCCTGTTTTGCAGCTGAATCATCGGGTTATCTGCTTTCAGCGCAAACAGGCAAACAAAAGTCAGCACAAAAACAAGCCAGAGTTAAAGCCAAATGCGAAATTGGAGGAGGCTAAAAACAAAAATACGAGCCACAAAAAAGAATCTACTTAAATCGCACACCTTAGCACATCCGTCAGAATGTTACCCACATGACCGGTGCATGGCGATACAGAAGGGAATCGGGGGTATGCTCGATACTTATTTACACATATCCAATATCCAATCACGTTCAAGGTAAATGATGACCGAATTTCGCGCAAACTTAACTGCGATGCAGAACCAAAATATAAAAAAAGCAGGCATAGTGTATTGTTTACAGTTACTCAGGCCACTAAAGATAAATTAAGCATACGCCCCATGAGCGGTTAAACAATTTGCTTGCACCTTTTTGGCCTTTATTTATGGTTGACTGTCAATCACATCAACTTTGCGATAGGCCCAACGCAAACAAACACAGCCCTTATCAGCAGAAAGAACACCCGTAGTATTTCCTTATCGCCAGGGCTTGTCTAGTGGGGGTCTGCCTGATAATTAGGTATTTTAAAATTTTGCACTCCCTAATCAAAGTTCTTTTGCGCACACACTTGACCTAAATGCGCAATTGTTGGGACCTATAGACTTTTGGAACCTACTGTATAGCACATAGCCGAATACCAGGGGGGTAGGATTATATTTTTTCAAGGGGATTAAGCTTAAAAAGGAGACTTTTATTACAGTAATTATATTTCGCTTTGATTCTGGAAGGAAAACCACATTGACTAATTTGTTATATAAACACGATTCTTGAGAGGGGTTTACCACCTTTAGATACGCCATTGACGTACTTATGTACATATATAGTATAGTATTACGTTCCCTCTATATACTTTCACTTTCGTTACGCGCATGCGTAATAAACGGAGCCTAAAGGGGAAAGTCTGAAAGGAAGTTGACCCCGACCGACGTTTCTATTTCAGTCATATTTTCGGCGTATCACGTATCAAAATCTTGCATACTTAGAAGGGCATTCTGATCCTTATGGCGGAAATGCGCTGTTAATGGGTTCCAAGTAGGAATTTCCTGTACTGGCCAAGAGAATTCTTTCACTTT